TCACCATGACCCGCCCAGGGGAAAGCAGGCTACATCACCAACCCACTTCCCTTGGGTGTAACTCCAGCCATTTCCCAGTGACTTTCAGGAAGCTTTTCCAAAACCAACAGAGAAACCAAAAATCTCTATGATCATTCCCCTTTAAGGAAGTTTCCCCAGGGGAGGATCACGTGGCTTCCCAGCTCCTCCTTCAAGGCCAAGTCTACACACACTTGTGAGGAGCTCAGAGCAACTCATCCACCTGCAAGTCCTGGATGCAAACAGGTGTGTGGGTCTGTGCAAGTGCGTGTGTGAGAAAGAGCGTGCAAATCAGTGTGCGACTGGGTGTGAGTGCATATATAGGTGTGTATGAGTGTGGATGTGTGTGAACAAGTGTGAGGCTGTGAATGAGTATGTGTGCTCATGTGAACATGTGTGAGTGTCCAGGTGGGTGTGATCGTGTGTGAGCACGAGTGTGTGTGACAGTGAGTGTCAGGGGGACTGAATCATGTGAGGTAAGTGAACAGTGTGGGTGAGTGTGTGCACCAGCATTCAGAAGTCCGGGTGAGGAGAAGGGTAACCGAGCACAGAGAACCAGGAGGGCCATGTCAACCTTCGTGACCCTTCCCTCCCTCAGGTGAAGTGGCTGTCACCTGAGGCTGCAGCCCAACTCCAAGGGACAGGGACACCCCTCTGAGGGGGCACGGAGGCTCAGTGCAGCCGCACAGAGCCCAGGGGAGCCTCTCAAACAGCAAGGACACTAAGGGCCCCTCTGCATCCAAGGCATCACAGAGAACATCTGGACCAGTCGTCCCACTTCACAGACCACACGGCATGGCTGCGCGGAGCTGGGTCAAGGTGAGTGTCACTCAGGGGCCTCGCCCGCACCCCAACCCAGCAGTGGGGAAGAAGCAGGCGTTGCCCATTCACCCAGCATGACTCACCGGGAGAACAGAAACAGTTGGGAGGGTGGGGGGCAATGGACAGACAGAGGACAGACAGACACCAGGAGCTCTGAGCCTCGGCCTTCAGTGCTCAGAGGTCTCCACACAAAGAGGAGGGCAAACACCAACACACCCACCACCCACACACCCTGGAGTTCAGACCTGGTCTGAAGTGTGCAGGAGCTTCAGTGATCACATCAGACAGACTGCCATCTGACAGAGGCAGACTGAGGACATGCCACAGGGGACAAAGGCCTAAAGCTGCATCCCAGGAGAACCTGCAGGACTGATAGCTAGCCCAAGAAGGGGGAACGCAGAGGCCAGGGCCTGCACGCACCCAGGCTGGCATGACATGAATGAGCTGACACCAAGCTCAGGCTCCACTGTGAGGCAGAACACCTGTGTAACCCGAGGAGCTCCACCCAGGAGAAGAGAAGCACCGAGGTGGTGATCAGGCCAACAGCTGGTGTAATATACCCTGGGCCTGGGTATACCAGTCTGCAGCCTTGTACCTACATAGCAGTGTCCCCAAATGAGGACAGAGGCAGAGGAAGAACATCCAGACCTTTCCTGGTGGCCTGACATGTTCTCCATGGTTGTGCTGAGGGCCCCAGCACCTGCCTCCCTGAGGTCTCAGCCCCAGTGGGAATGGACGCCCTGCCATACACCCCTAAGGCGTAGGCAGCTCTGGCAGGTATAGGGCCCATGGGACAATGCACTCACCTCCAAGAGCAGAGAAGGCAAGTTCTGAACAGAAACCCACAAGGCCCATGAATAAGTCAAAGGCTCACCTGTTCCCTCTGCTAAAGCAGACCACCAGCAATTTACAAAGCTCAGGAGAAGGGGCCATCTTCCAGGTCACCACAACCTCCTCAAAGCAAGCCCAGGACCAAGCTGACCGAGTCGTTGAATTGGCCAAACAAAACACAGACAACTGAGCACTGAGCCCCCCATTAGCTGTCTTCGTAATGACTGCTGTGTTCTGCCTGGCTACCTGCAGGCAACCTGCATCCCTGCCTGGGCCCCCAGGGGTCTGTGGCCTCCTCTAGCTTCTTCTCCCCTCCAGAGACCAGGGCTTCCTGCTTGGATTAGGGGCAGGTCCTCTGCAAAATCCTTCCTAGGAAACAGGCCATCACCCTGGGGACTGCCGGACAAGAACAGGGCTGCTATCATGCACACTCAC